AATTGGCTTAATGGCAGAGATTTTTTTTCTCCCCTAGTAAACCCTTTCTGGAAGAATTCTACACTCTTTTGATTTACACATTGTGGTAGTTACATAATCTGTTGTCAATTTGAGACCTGTCAATCAGGTAGCAGTTTGATGACCTCATTTGGGGGGCTCTAAGGAGATAAATAGCTCGCTGGAGGCAGGACACATGCTCACTCCCTGTGAGACATTTCTGACGAGAAGCCGCATGAAGCTACCCTGATGCAGCCGGGGCCCTGGGAGCTGGAGGAGCCCCATGGAGACCCACGCCAGCGCTGAGATGCTTACAAGGCCACTGGATCCACAAGGCTTCCCACCCACTGGCCTGTGATCATCCTGCACTCAGCATCATTGCATGTGTTTCATGAGTCTGAAGAGGACTTTCTAGATTTGTATCAGGCATATGGGTTAATATTGGACTTATGGACTTGATCTGGGCTGGGATTTTTCTCAATATTCAACTGCTCTTGTATAGAAAGCTCTTTCCTATACACCTATGAGTGTCTATCAATTTGTTTCTCTAGTCTACCCAGACTCTCACACACACACACACACACACACACACAACCATCAAAATGGAGGTCTTGCCACCCCGGAGGGCCTCAATAACTGCCCTTGAGTCAGTGCTGACTCACAGCGACCCTCTGTGGGTCCCTGAGACGGTAACTCTTTACAGGAGTAGAAAGCCCAGTCTTGTTCCCACGGAGCTGCCGGTGGTTTCAAACTGTAGACCCTGCTGACCGCGGCCGACACACGGAACCGCCACACCACGAGGGCTCCCACGAGGGCCTCCAGGGTCACTGCACTTCCTGGCCTTCTCCTCACCCACGTAGCTTTCCATTTTCTGGAAACGTCTTCCTAGTAAGTCCCCATGCCTGTGCCCCGTCTTTAAGATGATCTTACCCAGATGACCTTTGCGATGCCCCCAAAGTCACCATAACTTCCTTCGGCCTTGAACCGGCCACGGTTTCAAATGGACCTTTTCTGGTCTGTTTTGTTCTTTGGAAGGCGCCCTACCGTGGCCAAGGCAAGCCCGAGACCGAGCGGCCTTGTCCTCTGACTGCAGAGCCGTGTTGGGCTGTGTTTGGTGCGGAATAAGCCCGTGCGTGTGTGAGTGGAATGCCACAAGCAATACTTTCTGACCTGCCGTCGTACGCCCGCATCCATCTGCACAGACACACACATTCAATTGGCTCCGTTCCCCTATAGCCCTGACTGATGTGCAGGGGAGAAGAATGGACGGTGCAGACCGCCACTCGGTGGGATGAGGGTGACCCCAGACACCTCCTCTGTGTCCAGAGAGTCCCAGGACCCCAGAATCAGGCCTCCCCTGGGCACCTAGCCCTCTGGGGCTGGCCTCTGGGACCCCTCCTGGACCCTCCTGCTGGCTCCGCCCCCAGCAGCTCACCGGCTTGCTGTGTGGCTCCAGCTGGACCAGCAGGAAGGGCAGGAAGATGCGCACCAGCCACTCGTGGACAAACTGCCTCTGCGTGGAGCTGCTGTCCGACTGGGACTTCTGTAGGACAGAGCCGAGAGGCCCGCTAGTCACCGTGGGACACACCCCCTCCCCACCGGGCCCCACCAGTGCGCCCCGTCTCCTCACCTTCAGCACACGCCCTCGGACTTTTTCCAGCTGCTGCACAGCCTGCTGGCAGTCCAGAGCGGCTGTCAGACACTGGTCGGCCAGCTGCAGGAAGGTGGCCGCAGCATCGGCCATGAGCTGTAGGAAGAAGCGCTGATGACCCTGGAAGCCATGCTCGGCATTGTGGGGCATGTAGTCCACCCAGGCAGGAAGCACCCTCCCTGTAGGGGATGCAGGGCCAGCATGACTGACCAGGGGAGTGGAGAGCCGCCTAGAGTCCAGACAGGTCTGTGTCGTGTGCAAACCGGACCACTGTACCAGGCAGACCAGGACACTCCCAGATCCCCATCTCCCTCATCTGCTGCCTCCATCAACATGCCCCTCCCCTCGGCTTTCAAACCACAGGCCACTTCTGCTCCTGACCCTCCCACCTGGTTCAGGCCCTACCACCCCCTTCTAGATGCTGCCTGCAATCCTTGCTACCTCCACTTCTGCCCCCAACAGCCCCTGCTGAGCTTCTTAAGCCATGAATCAGGTCATGGTGCCCGACAGCCCCTGCTGAGCTTCTTAAGCCATGAATCAGGTCATGGTGTCCCCCACCTACCCACCCCTCACTCACACACCCTATATGGCTCCCTATTGCCTGAGGACAGAGTTGGCTTCTTAGCCCAGTGCTCAGGGCCCTGTGGACTCCACCCTGCGGAGCTCACCAGCTCATCCCCCAGCACTCCAAACAAACCAACCCAAACTCACTGCAGAGGAGTGTCTGCTCCTTGACTTTTGACAAGGAGCTGGAATTGACCCGGTGGAGAGATAGTT